TGGAAAATCACGGTGGGAAAAATAACGTTGGGGCAGGATCGCAAAATAATTCCTATGCCCTCTTAGGGGCTTTGGATCTTGAAATTCAAGGAAAGTGAAACAGGAGAGGGAAGCTTCAGCTTTATGTTTAAGAATGATCTATTTATTGGGAGAAAAGACACAGAACTGTCATTGTTTACTTACTATGCTTACTGAACCCCAGAAATCCATCTGAAAAGGATCTTGAAACTAATGAGAAAGGCAGTGAAATGGCTACACAAGAAAATAAATATACGAAAATCAATAGCTCTGTTATACATTAACAATAAACAGACAGGCCACTGGGATATAGCTCAGGCATAGCACCTGCCTGGCAAGCACAAGGTCCTGAGCACAGTTTCTGGTACCAACCCCTCCCCCCGCAATATCCAATAAACAGAAAATACAATGGAAAATATTATTGTTCCTTCATGGTGCAAAAATAATTTTTAAAAATTTCTTAAGGAATGAACTTAACTAGCTGAAGAAAATTATACAAGTTTCTTGAGGAACATTAAGAAGTCTTTTGATTTAATATAGAAATGTATCATGTTCTAAAAAGGTGAGACACCATTTTATAAATAGATTTTTTGTTAATTTACTGGCTTAATGTAATTATGATATAAATCTCAGTAGAACTTTTTCAGGAAACTTGACAAAGTGATTTTTAAAATGTACTTGGGCACATAAATAGGTGAAGATGGTGATGGGAAAAAAAAACCCTTAAGTTAACAAAGTAAGGTTATCATATGTTTAATACCTCTGTGCGACTGGTGCAATAAATTTGAAAATGTAGCACAATTGCAAAAAGGCACAGATGAATGAGACAGAAGAGAGACTAGCCACACAGGTGAATAACACACAGGCACACACACTGATGTGGTAAATGCAAACTGGTATGGAACATAAGGATCATTCAATCTGTAGTACTTGAAGCTCTGTTTAATTGTTTGGGAAAAATATATAATTCTCCATCTAAAGAAATATATCTGACAAAATCCCTGGAAGCTGATCCTGCCCTCTGCTCTAGTTTATAACTTGTTTCCTCCAGCCATGTGGGATGGTGCAGCTCTCTCCCACTCAGTTTAGTGTAACACTCCCTGCAGTGACTTGCAATCTTCTGTTTGACTCCCCAACAAGACCATGAAGTCTCATGAGGGAAGTCACCTTGTCTTATTCATATTTGCATGCTCTGAAATACGGCAAGTTCTTGACACATTTTGCCGTGTGAATGGAAAAAGAAGCCTCTATATGTTTCCTACAAACCTCCATGCTCTTAAGCTGTGTGTGGGCAGTATTACTGAGCTTTACAATCCCAAAACCCTGTGAATTATGCTTCAGATATAAGCTTCAATGAGTATGAGCGGAACACAAGAAGCACAAACACATTAGCAGTGTTTTCCTTCATCATCCACTTACTTTGGGACTTCTATGGGTTTTTTTAATCACTGTTGCTACTTTCTTACCTATTTCTCTCTTATTTCTTCTGTGTAATTTAATTGGATCATGGGTAGAAAAGATGCTGGTGAAGAAAACCACTGCAGTGTCTGAGAAACATTTGTTGACTTTTTTACTAAACAAATACATATTGAGTGCTGTGCTAAGCACCATTCCAAAGACCACTGAATGGTCTAAATTTGGGCAGTTTTCTATGTATTATCCCTACTTTTTCCAAAAACAGTTTCTCTTTTTTTCCCTAATATTGAGGATAAAACCCAGACACACTGTACAACTGAGCTACATGTTTATCCGTTGTACTTTTTATTTTGAGACAGGATCTTGATAAATTGCTCAAGCTGACCACCTGGATAGCTGGGGTTATATACATGCTTTACCATGTCTTGCTTCTTTCTCCATTTTCTGAATATACAGAGTTGTTAGGATTTTTTTTGAGACATGATCTCCCTATGGGGTTCAGGCTAATCTCAAACTCACTAACTTGTGGTGATCTTCCTGCCTCAGCCTCCTGAGTGCTGGGCTCACAGGTTTGTGCCATCACATCTAGTAAGTATTCTTAAATTATTTATGTGTTGTTTGTTTTCTTCCCTAGGGTCACAAGAAAGAAGAAGCATACCAGGGAAGCTCTTCACATGACAACGCTCTTTATTTGATGGGTCCTCTTCTGGAAATTGTTGTACTTTTCCAGAAGATGGAAAAGTGGTGGATCTGAAGAGGATTTTCTGCTTCAGCTAGAGAAGCTCCAAATCACTCAGGAAGCAAGCCCAGACAAAGCAAGACTGATCTCCACTTTCTCCTCTTTTATTAGCTGACATTGTTAATCAGTCCAATAGATTCCCATCTGACACAGCTCTATCACTTCTGGCCAACAGGGCTTTCACTTCTCCATTTTAGGAGGAGAGACCCCTGTGAAGTCTTCCTTTGCTGCACTTTCTGTAGCTTATTGTCTTTAATCCCATTACAATGGTGGTGTCCTGGAATGCACACCCCTCAGGGAATCCTTTGGCAAACCTGCTTGTGCCCTCAACTTACCACAAGACCCAGAGTCATTAGTCAGAATTCTCAGTGCGAGACACAAGAACCTCATGCTCACCTCTACTTCTTTGATCTCCTCTAGGGGATAAAGAAAAAGAACCTAAGACTCATTAGTGAGCCTAATCTTGATTGCCATCACCGTCACCTCCACCAGTGTGATTAATGGAGGACTCACTGTGGGTTAAGCGTTACAGTGTGGATCTGGAATGTCTTCTCATGGGCTGGAGGCTAGGTTTCTGATGCAGCAATGCTAAGCGCAGAAGCTTTGGTAACGGACGAGATCTCTAGGGCTCTGACTTCATCAGTGAACTAAAACATTAATGGGTTCAACATTTGATGAGTTATTGGGAAATGACAGAAACTGAGGAGGTAGGACCTAGGTGAAGAGAGAGGGCTATCGGGGGCAGGCCAGGGCAGGCTACATTATGTCTTTAGACAGTTCTTTTCTCTTCATTTCCTGGCTGCTATGAAGCCTCCTTTGCCACACACTGCCGCTGTCATGATACTTGGCTTTGACTTAGGACTTAGGCCCCAAGCAAAGGAGCCACTAGGTCATGGAAATAATCCTCCAAAACCATGATTTTCTCAATTGTTTAGTTTCCTTCTTAGAGCTCCTCTTCAGAGCGTAGCTTTAAGAGATCTTGAGATCATGAACTTAAGCCAATCGAATTATTTTTATCTAACATCATGTAATACACTTAAAACAATTTACTTTCTCTATTTTTACTTAATCTTAGTGAATTTGTGGTCATCTGGATCAGTTTTAATTTTTATTCCCACATTTTTTACATGTTTGAAATTATTACAAAATATGAAGTTCAAAAATATTTTAATTAGGTACAAAGCATTTCATATAAACCAAAAGAGCTGCAGAAAGTAATTTCACAGGAAGGATAAAAAGGGAACTAAATTAAAAGCATGGTAATTTAAAATGAGTATGGAAGAGCACAAACATTATAACCGAATTTCCTGGGTTTAATTTCATCCTCTTCTTTATTAGCTCTAGGGTCCATGTGACAAGCTCCACAACCTTTCTGTGCTTTATTTTCATCAGCTACAGAATCAGGGTAACATTAATAGCAATCTCCCAATTTTACTTGAGACTTAAATAAAATAAACCATAGCAAGTGCTTCATATTGGTTGATCCATAGAAATTTCTCATTTGTCAGATATTTAAAAGACTTTACTGCTAATACTTTCTCAGCAAATCAAATTTTCCTAGGTAAAATTTTGCACCTTGTCAGGAATATTTTGTTCTTCCAGCAAATTTTTTTCAAAACCTCACCATGAACAGTTTTAGCTCTTGTCAGGTTTACTTCCTCTTAATCATTCTACTAAATCTAATTTTGCCCTCTGGTCATTTTTTTTTCTTTTGCAGATTTTAATGTCATCAAAAAGCTGTGATTCTTCAGCCAACTTTTCTGCTGTCACAAATTTTACCATGTGCAGATTAAACAGTTGTCAGTTTGAGTTTGTGTTATGTATGTGTATGAGTTATAGGTATTATAAAAGACTAATGGTGTCTTACTCCTCTCTTGCATTGGCAGACTCTCATCTGAAAACCAGATGTGTAGACATGAATGTACCCAAGAGTCAAAAGGGCAAGTTGTAAAAGTTATGCTGTATTCAAATCCTCATCTGGAGTATATAGCACCTAGGGGACACTGGGTAAGTGATAGAAAACATACATAGTTACTGTGCAAAGAGCTGTGGCTTTGCGTCTGCTAGTGTTGTCATAGTTACTTTTCTCATGGCTGACACACAATACCCAACACCTACAACTCTGAGGAAGAGCAGTTTATTTTGGCCTACAGTTTGTAGAGTTTTCTGTCCATAGTCAGCTGATTCCAAGGTGGAGGGGGGGCATGCAGAGGAACATGGTAGAAGAGAAACAGCTCATGGTATGGTGCTGGAAGCAGAGAGAGACCAAGGAAGGAGGGGGAGAAATATACCCTTCAAGCCACACTCCAATGGCCTACCTCCCACAGTGAGGCTTTCCCTCTCTACATCATAGTTAACTATCAACTCATCAGTGGGCTAATCTGCCAGTGACTGTTCTTAGTCTTCTGATGAGTATCATGCCTCCATGGTAAAATCATCCCACCTGTGATTGTATGAGGTTTTGGGGCAAAGGGTCTAGATATAAACCATAACAGGCCTTGATCTTGAACTCCAGTGCTGCAGACACATTCTGCATAGCACTGGATAAGTCATCTAACCTTTCAAAGTTCTCATTAAAAGTTCTCATTAGTTGTACCAAGGGTATGAGGTTCACCTCTAGAATTTTGAGAATTGAGGGAGAAAATGTATGGAGTATGCCCTCTGTAGTAGACAGTGGGTATTCAATAATTACAATGCCCCGATGACTAAAATCTTTGGATCTATTCTTTCTAGTAGAATTTCCTGCCATGATGGAAATCTTTTTTTTTTTTTTTAACTTTCTTTCAATTTTATTGAAATGTGCCAAGAATCCATGGGCAGCACAAAAGTATGAACAGGAAAAAAAATCACATGTACAATAATTTTTAAAAAGTGAAGGTTCTCATTGCTATCTGTTTATCAATAAAACTTTGAAAAAAAAAAGTGAAGGTTAATCTTGGGAGCTATCAGTTCCCCTCTCCCACCCCCTCCAGACTTCCAGCATTTCCACTATGGTTAAGCCTCTACTAACTAGCATTTAAAAATGGAATGCAAGAACATTTTTTTGCAAAAAGAAACAACAACAACAAAACACAATGACAAAAATGAAAGAACCGTTTTCCTGCTTAGGTGGCTCTTCCTGGACCCTTGTTTAGGAGGCATGCTGAGTAGGAGAGAAGCACAACTTCAGAGTGTAAGGGTAGGGCCGCTTGGGCTTTTCACCTGGCAACAGCTCAGGAAGCCCAAGTTCTCCAGGGCATCACTCTTGGGTTCCCACTCCAGCAGCCTGGAGGAGCTGCATTCACTTTTGCCTGAGAATACCTTCACAGAAGTTGATCGTTTCACTCGAAGTTCATCGCAGATCTCAAAGAAGTTCTCCGCGGTCACCTCCAGTGGGGTGCTGAAGAAGTGCAGCCCATTGCTGGGTTACTGGATGTGTGGTTCTTGGCTGCCTGCTCTGGGATGGAGAACCAACTGCTCCTTGATTTGCTGAAATCTTTGTAACTGTAAGACCCGTCTTCTAACCCATATGACTGCCCAGGCATGATGGTGGCTGCTTAGCGATACAGACATTCATCTTCTGCCCAAACATGAAATTGTTGTTCAGGTGAATTATAGCCTGGTCCACAGCACTGCCATCAGTATTCTCCACCATAGCAGCCCTCGGCTTGCTTTTCATGAATTTCACCTTCTCCACATTGCCATATAAGCAGAAGACATTGAAGACTCCATCACAGTTCATCTTAGATTGATCTAAGCCATAGACCATGAGCACAGGGCTGTCGGCATGGGGGCCATACTCAGGTGGTGGAGGAGGGGGTGGAGGGTGCCCATACTGGGGGCCGTAGCAGCTTGGGCCCCAACGGTGAACCCCCACAGGTGGGCCCATCCTTCTCCCTTCGTAGTGAGGTGGGGGAGTGTCCGTAGCCCTCATCATGGTAAGATGGAAATCTGCATGGATATTATACAATACTGTTCCTACCAGACACATGGGACAATTAAACACTTAGAATATGGCCAGTGTGAATGAGGAATTTAATTTTTAAATTAACTTAAATTTGAATAGCTGCTTATGATTTGGTTTCCACAATGAACTGCACAGTTGTAGATCTGAACATTCCCAAACTTCCCTCCAGAACATTTACACAAATATCCTTAGATATATTTGTGATGAACCCTGTAGACCTTCTGAAATGAATCAAAAATGATGATCAGACATCAAAACTTTAGGACTCAAATGATTTTGTGAGAAGCCTAAAATTCAACCTCGCTGTTTTCCTTGAATGGCAACATTTTGTGACCTGCTTGACAGATCTGATACAGTAGCCAGAGGATGGTAAAAGTAAACTTCTGAATACATACTGCCAAAGGTAGGACAGCAGAAGTTTGGAACATGTTTCTGCAATTCTTAGGCATATATCTTTTTTTGATCTCGGAGTAATCCCTTCACTACTCCTGGCCTCAAGGCTGATTGATTGATGGCTCAATCACCTATTGATCTACATGCACAGTCCACCCATTATATCTCAGTCACGACATCTGGACATTGGAGATAAACTAGAAAATCACAAAAGTCAGCTTCTCCATTGTTAAACTCTTTAGTTTACAGGGATGCCCAGCTTTTAACAAGTGCCTTAGATTCCCTAATTCCATGCAGGGCCATGTTCTAAGTAGTACAAATAGAAAACCACTCAAAACTTAGTGGATTAAAATGATAGATTACCTTTTGTCTTTCCATGGATGAGGACAAGAAAGCAGCTTTGCTGGGAGGCCAGGTTTGGGTCTGTCATGGAGTTGTAGTCATATGGTCATTAATGTAGGGACTATCCTGAAGATTTCTTCACTTACATGTTTGTAGGATTCAAAGAGGTAATTTCTATCCCTCCCAGAACCTTGCCACACAGCACAGTCATGAAAAGAAAATAAAGCCAAGGAGCCCCCAGACCAGATTTTGGAAGCTCTGGATGTCATCAAGTCACTAGAAGTATTTACAAACTCTTCAGATAACTGTCATTGTTCCAGACTAGCAACAGGAACTATGATGGAGTGTCTGTTTTCATTTTGATGTTTTTGAAAAACCTACTATTAAAATACCATATCATCAGGAGACCTTCATAGTCAGAGTGTGGATGTTGTATAGTCTACAACAATTCTAGCTGGCCTTGTGGAATACTTGTTATGCACCCAACGCTGTGCTGAGGATTTGACAAGGGTCAAGTCAGTTAAGAATTACAACAACCCTGAAAGTGAGCCACATTTCTTTCTCTCATCAAAGGAGACAGGCTCAGACATATGAGGTAACTTGCCCAAGGCAACTCAGTCAGCCAAAATAGAACTAGGACTGAGAAAAGGAGCTTGAGAGTCAGGCAGACCTGAGTTCAGATTCAAACTTTTGTCATGACAATCTTGAATATGTGTGATTGTCACCCAGCCACATCAATCTTTAAGTTTCAATCTCCTCTTTTGTGAAATGGAATACATTCATGTTCCTCATAGGGCCACTGGCAAAACAAATGGGATGCTCTGTGCATGGTCCTTTACAATAGTACGTGACACAGAGTACTCCTGACAGTGGCTGCTGCTTTGACTGCCCCTGCTAGCTTGGAATACAGATGCTATTTGCAAATGTGTAAATAAGGTCATCATACACAACTACTAGGAAAAACAACTCTCTTTTCAGCACCCAGACTGACAGTCTCAGAGTGCAAACAAGCAAGAAGGAAATGGCTGGCCTACAGGAATAACCTCAAAATAATATTGAAAATTTAAAGGAGTAGTATCAGGCCAACCTTCAGCCCCGATCCCCTTATGTTTGCCAAGAAGGAAAAACATTTCTATAAAGATAAAGGAATGGGGCTTCAGTATCCACTCTGATATGCTCTCCTGGCTTTATAAATACATTCTCCCATGGTAAGCAGTTTATCACAACATCTGGATTTGACAAACGGTAGGTAGCTGGTTTATCAGATGATATATTTTGCATGAGTGACAGTTAATATTTCTGCTGTGGGAATGGGGAGTCTGAATTTCATGCATTTGTATAACTGGAGCAGATTATTAAACCATGCACTTTAAAAAAAGTCTTGCTATTGACCAAACTGAGGTGGGAGCTGCATGGACCTGGTGGATGGTGCTGTGTTCAGGCTCCAGGTATTATCTGTGAGCTCCATATCCTGGAGGAATCACCCTGGGGCTGAACCACAAGATTCACCCCAATGACTAAAACAAGCTTTGGAAGTAGGAGTGTCTAGTTGAAATCTTGGGTTTGCCACATTCTAATTGATGCCTCTGGATCTAGTATCCAGCCCTCTTCGAGCTTCACATTTTTCCTTGGTAAATGGGGAATAGGGACAGCAGCCTCACAGACTCCTTTGTGGATGCGTTGAAATGATACAGGCAAAGTGTTATAGCATTTGCTATCACAAAGGTGTTCAGTTAATGTCTCTAAACATCAATTCTCTTTCTCCCACCTGTCCCAGTTTCATCTCGATAATGAAGGCTTTGAATTGAAGGCTTTCTGAGTTTCCTTTCAGCCTAAAATAATTCTGGTTAGTGACTGATTCTGAGCTCTGAGATACAGATGAGCCATGTAGGTGTGAAACCAAGACAGGTGGGCAGGAGTTAGGCATGTGAGGGTGTAAAGTTGAAAGACAGCAGTAAAATCAGATGAGCAGTGTACAAGTGAATATGATCAAAGGTGCACTAAAATAGAGACCGTTCTTTAATGGTATAAAATGAGCTCCTCTGCTGAGGAATCTCAGAGCTACAGAAATCAGATAACAGGGAAAGCTCAGTAGATGCCTAGTAGAAGGTGGAATAAAGGCCTGTGCCTATGAAGTGTGCTACACGCAGGCAGGTCTGGGGGCAAGTTCACATCTTCAATCAACAATTCCAAGAACAGATTTGTTAACCCAGGGGCCACAATGTTAAAAGCATACATAAGAATACTGAGATGTTTTTGGACATCTGTGGGAGTTCCTACCCTATCCACATGATATGCATTAAGTCATCCCTAACATCACCTTACAAAACAAGCACCAGTGTTATCTCAGGTGTAGGAAACGAAGGGTTCTAAGATTAAAGAGCTAATAAAAGGCAGCTTGAGGATTCAGATATTTGACTTCAGAGACCCTGCTCTTAATTGCTGCTTCTGCACAGCACAGGGAGAGACTGTACATCTACTAGAGCTACAATAAGCTTAGGCTCAAAATAGACTTGCTTGGTTACCCAGCAGTATCCAGCATCTGTTCTGCCTACGTAAAATCCACATTTGTTTGAGAATGGTTATACCGTGTTATCATGCAATGGTCCTTCTACCTGTAGGGTAGACTGGCAATCTGCAAACCTATGTCACCTCTGGCTACAGGCTAATGATGTAGGAACTATTTGTGGGACCCTGTTCATGGTAGGACTAAGTGCAGATCATCTCTAACAAAGCTACACTTATAGGATGTGTTCCCCATGTGGGTCCAGTTCCAAAAGGAAGGTTACTGTGAGACCTCAAATTATGCCACTCTCTGTACTCTGATTCTACTGTCAAATAAAATTCCAAACTTCCACCAGCAATTGAGGAACAGGAAGAATGATCCTTTTGTTTCACATCCTTTTTGAAAAAGGATTTTATAGATTGACAGGAAGAGAAACAGGGGCCAGGGAGTTGGCTCAGTAGAATAAGCGCAAGGTCCTGAGTTCAATCCCTTTGATTCCATTCATATTAGCCCTATATATTTGTCTATGCCTTACCAGTAGCTCATGAATCAGATGGAAATGCATGCAAGTTGTAGTATGCAGAACAAAGCAGGCCCCTCAGAGGCTGAGGTCAGCAGTGAGAAGGAAAGTGGGTCATCTGGAACCTGCTCCTCCCACCCCAGACTCCTGAAGAGCCTAATTACTTCCTTTGGTTTAGCTTAACTCTTCATCAGAAAAATATGGTACCACTCCTTAAAACAGATTGAAAAACAGTGGTGGATGTCAAAGTGCATTGTAAATGTTCGAGCAGCACTTCTTAAATTTTAATGTGCATACGAATCACCTGGGG